CTTGCGTTTTGAAAAATGGGAAGCAACGGTCATGCCAACAGCGATGTCTAAAATCCCTACATCGCTGTTTTGGCTGTTGACTTCCAAACAAGGAAAGTTTTAGCCTTAAATTCCTTCCAACGGTCAGGTCTCTACATCGATGTTCCATACTAGAACATCGCTGTTTAGGTCTGCCTTTGAAGATGGAAGTTTGGCCTAACAGCGCTGTTTTTGGGTCAACATCGCTGTCCAAAAACTTTCTGCCAATGCACAATATCTTTGGCTTAGGTTGGACAGCGCTGTAGGGAAGCCTACATCGCTATTCCAGAAGTTTCTGGAAATCCAACCTTGGCTTCAACAGCGATGTCTAATGTCCAACATCGCTGTTGGAGGACTTAACGCCAAACCATGTTTTTAGCTACCCAAGCCAGACAGCGCTGTTGGTTACCTCAACATCGCTGTTGGGCTGGTTTAGCCAGACCCATGGTTGGTTTAGTCACGCCGTTAGCCGATGTCAAAAATGTAAGTTCTCCAAAATAAAAACCAAGTATTGAAAATGTTTTTTTAATGCATTTTGCTAAGAAATCAAGTAAAACATTTTGAAAACCACGTCATTTAGTTGAAAACCACGGCTAGCCAAGTTTACGCCGTTTCGCATGGTTTTCACTAAACGACCAAAAACGAAAGGTGGTTTTTGAAGCGTTTTTGTTGGAGAACTATTTAAATATGCCCAGAAGTAAAAACCAGTCATAAAAAGTTGAAAAACATTTGGTTGGTTGGGACGCCAAAAACCAATGCCGAAAACCGAGAGCCGAACGCCGATTTCTGAAAACCGAACGCCGGATGGCTTGGTTTTTGGTTTGGGCGAACTCCAAGTGTTTTCAGGCAGGTTTAAGACTTAAGAAAATCATTTTGAATATGCAAAAAATGTTTTGATGAAATGAGCCTAGAAACCATGTTTTGAATGTTTGTGCTGGTCTTAATCACATTAAAACCGACGCAATACAATTCTAAGTCTTCGTTCTTGATTCTTGGTTCTTGGTTCTCAGTTCATCATGCCATGTTCCTTCTCCTTGGTTTTGCTCAGTTTAACCTTGTTATTGTCACGGCGGTTTGGCATTATCAAAACCTGTCATAAAACGAACACGACTTAGTACGACATAGGCGTAAACCCGTGTTCCAACAATTTCCCCCTTTTGATAATGGCAAACAAGACGGGGATATGCATATCAAGGGATATTTGATTTTCAAAAAGTTGTGAAAAAGTTCCCCCTTAATTTGTGCTTAAAAGAAATTAGTCAGATTAAAAACAAACGGTCTCGTTTTTAGAGGCGTTCCCCCTTAGTATATGCATAGCCCTTTTCTTCCCCCTTTTGACATTAACAAAAAGATAAAAGATAACTTTTATTTATTGAAGATGGGAAATAGCGGAGTACAACGGAAGCATTAAGAGACATGATAATTAAAATAAAAGAGATAGAAATTCTAGGGGCGGCCTAGTCTTCGTCTTCGGTTTCCTCCTCGTCGTCGTCAACGTCCATCTCATCACCGTCAACGGCATCGTCAAACTCGTCCTCGTCCGGGGAGCTTGACGGGGCGTAGGAGCCATCCTCTTCGTCCTCGTCACCGTACACTTGCCCAAAGAACGTGCCATGGTACGGTGGGGGGACGTAGTTAATGCGTTGGAAGTATGCGTTCATGGCGTGCCCTTGGCGTTGAACAGCCTCGTTGAGCCGCTCAAGGTAGCCATCCATCCCGTCAACTTTGAAGTGAAGCCGGTTGAGGGAGTTGGCGATGGAGGCAAGGTTGGCCCGGGCCTGGGCTTCGGCTGGGCCAGCAGCAGAACGGCGCCGTTGCACGGAAGTGGCAGGTCCGGCGTTGTCCGACCGCTTCTTGAAGGTTTGGGTGCTGACCGCCCAAATCTTCGTGGCCTTTGTGAGTGGGCCAACGGTGGTGGTCACCTTGAACCGTTCAAGGATGTCCATCACCACGAACGGGTACGGGAGGAGGTGGTCGTGGTCGGTGGACGCGGCAATTGTCATGTTGATCATGACAAACTTTGCCCAATTGATTGGGGCCGAGTGCATGATCGCATGGATGAGCTTGAGATCTTCACCGGACATGATGGTGTGGCCGTGCTTCCTGGGTTTGATGATCCGGGAGACGATGTAGAGAAGAAGACGGCCATCGGGGTTAGCGGAGTGGATGGTGGGGCGGCCCGAGGCATGGCGGATGAGCTCGGTGATGCCAAGCTCGTTGAGGATAAGGCCCTCGTTGTTGAGCACCCAGTCCTCTCCGCCATA